AGAATCAAGGCTCAGCCAGTTTCATTTCAGATTCTCACACTGTTAGGCTTTGGAAGAAAAAAAAAAGTTTGACATCTTAACAGAAATTATAAGACATATTTTCAATTAAAAAACCAAACATTTTAGGGTATCCATACTTTTGTATAATTTCATTCTCTTCAAGGCTTTCAACTAAAATTTAGCTTTTCAAGCTACATTTGAGACAAATAAAAAATTAAAAAATTGAGGTGGTTGAAAAAAAATTAAAGCTTAGATGTCTTTCATTCCCCAAATCATCTAGAAAACATAGTTATAGAAGCTAGCTTGTCATCCTTTATGACTAGAGAAGCTCTAGGCAAGTCCTTCATTCTCACACCAGTTAAACAATTCTCTAAAATATGGATTAAAATCAAAATAATGTCCAAAAAATACAATGCTTTCCAACATAGGATCTTGTTTAGATTATTATTTTAACAACTTAAATATTTAGGAAGGTTTAGGAACAGCAAAAGGAAATAAGTAGATGGAGACATAAGAAAACCTTAAAGATCTGGACAAAGAGAGAAAAAAAATCATCTGGGGGTTTTGGTACTACAGGTATGGAAACATATCAAACTACAAAAACTTGAGAGAAAAATTACCAATTACTGTGTCAGGCTGTTGATTTCAGGTCAGCTTATTTTCTACACTTATGTATGTGTTAAGGGCAAGAAAACAGTCCTTTCTTCAGTAGTCTGTTCCTTTCTACTAAGTGTAAACAAGATTCATTGAAATCATATGACCTAAAGTTTTTTGATATAAACTTCCACATTATTTTTATTCTGTACTGATAAAGCAGCATTCATATGCTATAATTTAAACTATTATCTAATTCCTCTTCCTAATGTTTTCACACCGTCATCAACTTCAGCCTACTCTGGTTTTGCCCTCTCCAACAACTTTACAAAAAAGTTATGTAGCTGGACCAGCTCCTTGGGCCAGCTTACCACACAACCACATAAGCACGAGCACTGAGCCAACAACGGGAGGAAGCAGGACTAGCTGACAACCCAAGTTTACGTCAATATGAACTGCTTTGGAACCACACCTTTTGAAGTGTCAATTCAAACCCAAGCATATTAAACATGAAGTGAAGCAGTAAAAAATGCAGTCTATTTTCTTTCCCTCTCCTGAAAGCTGTTGCTCAATGGCAGTGATGGCTGAGCAGAAGAAGAAACAATCCCAGTTCACAATTTCAAATATTGAGTGAAATAATGGGTGCCAAACTGGAATTTTATTATTACATCAGGCTTTAAAGAGATGTGAAAGCAGTTCCATACTACTCCTGACCTTGTCAGCAGTAGCTGAACTTCAGCCTTCAGGGGAAGCAGAGAATGGACAGCTACCAGCAGGAACTGATTCTATCACTCACGTGGAATCTGCTTGTGTCCTTAAGCATATATGAATTCAGGGTGCTGGTTTTACGTACAGAATCTTGCACAAAGATGGCTCCTCACATCCAGATGCATCTCAAGTCCTTTGAGACTCAAGTCCCTAGATCTGCCCTGCCAGGATGCAATGCTTATTGGCAAAAGAAAGGATATGTGACCAGACATCCGTAAACCAAAATAAGAAAACATCTGCCACCTTTAGTGATTTTGAAAGAAACACGTATGAAGTCTACAGAACACAGCACTCTCCTTTAGGAAAACACTAGAGTGAGTAAATACCTGAAAACCACCTCATGATACAAAGGACCAAATAAAGATCCAAGTTAAAATTTTTTTAAGCACTACTGAGACAAGACTCAAAAGGATGTAAGACTCCAGACTCCACTTGGGAAAATCCACCCACCCGATACTAAACATATATTCCTCCCCAAACATGAAGGACACTAAGATGAATAACACGAGCCTTTTTTCTTAGTATTTGTTGCTATCAAGATAAAGTCTATAAATGTGAGATGGGTAAGAGAAGAGACTAAGCGTAGATTTAAAAAGGGCCAACTAGAGAAACAGGGCTGAAGCTGCCCACTAGCACTGCCTGATATAGTCTGGATGCCTCCATGTCATGAGATATGTTCGCACAGCTCCACCCTCCCACCAAGCTCCCCTCAAACCTGTTCTGTAGGATCTCTGCTATGACCTTGGCCAACCTGCATTTTCTGTAAAACTGCAATTACTCTGCACTCTTGTAAATTCTTAGGAAATAGGCAAATGCTTTATTGTAAACCCTCCTAGCTTTATGAGGGCCAAGAAGACTTAAACTTGGTCTCATAAAGAACCTTTGTACAAAAGAATCTAAACAAAAAGGTCATAAGTAGCATTTAAAATAACCTATATTTAATATCTAAAAAATATAATCTTCTGCATAGAATAAAGAAAAGTGCAGCTACACCATAACATTCCATACCACAAGAAATGGCTAATTTACGAGTGGTATACAATTAACTGTTGTCTCTCATCACCGAGACTGCAGCAAATAAAGACATGTTTATTGGGAAAATCACATTTAAAAAAGGGATTAGGTTGTTTCATTATGTCTGTAAAGCAAGTGCAAACATTTAAAATTCTTTTTAAAATAAAGCAAAGCTGATAAATCATTTTTGAAAGTTAATTTTCTCTTGATATTGCTTGGAAAGATGAAATAGCCTTTGTTCTTTTAGAATTCAAATTAAAAATAAGTCCCCATTTGGCATCCGTTTTATGCGAAAAAAAAAATTTAGAAAGTTTGTAAATGTGCAAGCTTTATCTGTTCTATAAAAGTTGGATGTTTATAGGGTTATAACTCTTCATTCCCTTCTAACTTTTGTACTCTAATCCCCCTGGTAATCAAGCACAGAATAGTATTGAATAAGCCTGGGAGATTGATTTCCACTGCTCAGAGGAATAGAGAAAAGGCCTAAGAAGTGGAGAATCAGGAATTTTAGGAAAATGAAAGCCAAAAAACTATTGTCCACTTTTGATAGGAAGTAACTTTTAAATGTCTTTCTACTTCTCATATTTGCATGCCTAAATGCGAGAAAGAAAAGCGTATACCTAATCAGTTGTCAAAACATCTTCAATTTTGTTTTCTAATAAAAATCAGCTTACTTTATTGGCTATAACTTGGTACTACAATTTGGTAAATGAGACGTTTAAAATAAATAAAAATAAATATTGTATATATGTATCAAGATTTCTTGTTTCTATGATGAATTAGAGTCTGTATTATTAGATTTCATTTTGCTTAGCCTTCTTCAAGCTTTGTCGCCACTTACGAATGGCAGTTCCAGAACTACTAGCTACTACACAAAGGGCACCACCCACAGTCCACCAAGTTGGTAGATGATTGAGAAAAAGAATTTGTAAAATAAAAGCAAACACCACATCCATTGTTCTCATTATGGATACAGGTCCAGCTTTTTCGATCTGTAATGCTTTTGTGAGAAATATCTGACCTCCTAATCCTAATAAGCCTATTAATATTAGAAGAACCCTATCTTTACCACAATATGGTAAACGCCATTCATTCATAACGAACATTGCTATAACACATCCAATTAAACCAATGACTGCATAATACCAAATTGACAAGAAATAATGCACAGATTTTCCCATCTTCCTTAGTATAATAAAAGTCGAAGCTGCAGACACTGTGCTTGTAATTGCTGCTATAGTTCCTTTAAGGTGATCTGTGTAACTTCCTTCAACCTCTGTAACGCTTGACCCAAACAGAAAAGGTGGTCTGGCAATAAGAACCACTCCAATGATTGCAAAGAGGGTAAACAGAAGATCCCAAAGGCTGTATTTCTCTTTGAGAAAGATCCATGCCAGAAACGAAGTAAAAACAGGACTGCTAAAAGTTATAACAGTGGCATCAGCTAGTGGCATGACTTGGAACGCATAGTAGAGAAGAACCATTGCGAAAGAGCCAAGGAATCCTCGGAAGAAAAGAAAAATTCTTGTACCTTTTGGTCCCAAAAACCCTGTTCTGAAAAAAGAAATGTCACATTAATGTCACTGGCTTTCATGACCAATATCCAATCACATTTAATTGTGCACACCTCTCTAGATGAGGGACTGATCTCAAATGTTTTTAATTGATATAAATATAAATTAAATATTAATTGATAAATATTTTTAATTGATCACAGACCAATTTATTCCCATCACCACCCTAATCACATTGAGAGGCTGGAACCTATTCTTGTAGTTATTAATTTTTTGCTTGCAAAATAACCCAAGAGTAGCTACAAATTACCTTCTATTTTTTTCTAAGACCACCACTTCATAGATGAACATCAAAACATTTGATGTAATCCCTGTAGAAACTTTTACAATTCAGGGAGTTAAAAGATTTTCAGTTTTCTTAATTGTATTAAGAAACTATCAAGTAATCCAAAACAATGCAGTTATGCAATTGAAGTCTGAATTAAAATAATATTGCTATCTGATTTAAGTGAGTGGTAATTCCAGATCTATTTTTAAGAAATCACCTTAAAGTTAAACATTTGCTACACTTACTTGTAGTATATTAAACCAGGAAGAACGAATGCCATTTGGAAAACACATCGAAATGCACTCACTTCCACTGAATGTACACCTTCTATTTTTTTAAGAAATAAAGAAGCCACTGAGAAAAGGAAGGCAGACAGTACAGTATAAAACAGACCAAGTCCTGGACAGGCAGGTTTCTTCTTTGTTCCTGCAACAGAAAAACTCCAGTTAATAATGATCTATTAGATTTGTCAGGTCAGGCAGCCCTACATCCTGCAGTGTTCCATACATTTGTAGCTATTCTGTGCCAGAGGACAGGGGAAGGAAAAGAAACAAATGCAAATACAAATACCACGTGTATTTACCAGACCTACCTTGAACATATGTTTCACTGACCATCGTGGCTCTCCTTTTTTTCTTAAGACAGGATATATGAGATGAACTCTAACACTTTGGGTACAAAATCATTCCTAGACTTCTCAGAGTTATACGTAAGACTAGTTTGGGTGATTCACTATAGGATTAGTTGTATGATTCTGGCCACTGCCCAAGGACTAATAAATACAACTGACTGCAAAATGGTCCATGGTCAGATTCTGAAACACTGAAACTTATTACCTGGGAATCATCTGATTATTGAGTAAGTTAATTAAGGTTCCTAAGCAACAATTTAATTTCCTTTCTTGTAAACACACATGTAAAAATTGTGCACAGAACCTCACTTCTGTTATGTCTCATGTTTATTTTGCAGTTAAATCACGCTAAATTTGATCTAGACCTACAGAAGTCTTACATAATGTTTTTATCATGCTGCAAGAATATTTTCTTCAAATAAACATTTTTAAGCAGAAGAAATTTGACTGATTTTAAACATTATAGGCCTGTTTAAAGTACTGATACCTATCACAGTTCCATGCAGACCTTAGTTTCACCTTAGTTTATCAGACTTTCTCTTCCTGAAGTAGTTTCCCAAGTCTAATGGTTTCTATTCAAGCTTTCCCATTGCCTTAGGCCCTCTTCAGTGACATGGTCTTCCTCCTTCCTTGTTCCACTCATCTTCTCCACCCTCAACTATTAAAAAAAAGGAACGCAAACAGAGAGAGTGAACTGCTGAACTCAGGACTGTCTCCAAATAAATCAGCCTTTTTTGTTATTGCATTGCTGCATAAAAGGAACAGTTTTTCCACTGAATCTAGAGGTGAATACCACAGAAAAGAGAACCCATGAGAAATCTGAGTGGGATGTTACCTCACTATCTCTTTTTTTCTGTCCACATAAAACATTGGGAGTTACCTTTTCTTCTACAACACCCTCTAAAGATAACAGCAAGAAGTCCATGTCCCTGAGGCAGTGTTTTGGTAAAAGGGTGCCTCATGTCATGTTAGTGTGGGAGTGGAACGCCATGAGCCTTTTGCATCCTCTAAAACATAATCAGCAGGGCATTTCTGTGAGTTGCTTAGCAACTAAGTATGGTTTTGAGGGGAGGTTTGTTTTGTTTTGGGTGTGTGGGTTTTTTTAATGTAACAAAACTTGTCACAAACCATTTTGATCCTTCTTGAGATCTGCACTCAAGGCTGAGAAACTACTTACTACCTAAGAGCTGAGACTGTGGACTGATACAGAGTGTATAGCATTGGTTCTGGCTTTAACAGTTCCAGAGACCCAGGCTTTACAACTGAAATCAGAATTTAAGCAGGCAGAAGGCCTGCTTTTCAAGGAATCCGGCCACACTACAGCTGAAAAGGAATTACAGTTTCTACTAGAAGTATTTCTATTTAGCAACAGCCACTTACATAAAAGTGACTACAAAAACTACCAACAACCAACGCTGGACCAGGACATCTACCAACTATGAAACAGAGTGGATGTAAAAAATGTTCATGAATTATGCAATGCCCTAATCCACATAGTCACACAACAGAAGTACAAAATCAACCATGTCTCTAATACTAAAGCAAGAGGAATCAGTCTGGCCTATAACTGAAATGGGAAATCCAAACCCAGGCTGGCTTATGGATGAACACAGCACAAACAGAACTACTAACTTTTATTTCAGGCATGATAGCTTGCCCGATTACTTCAGAACAAAGCAAATGTAAATAATGGAAGTGTTGAAATGGAAAACCAATCAAACTAAAGCAAAGCAAGCTGAAAGGATCTTATACCCAGAACTAAGCTTTGGATTTGAAGGAACAAAGGAAAACCAGAAGGAACTCCTTTTTGTAAGCTACCTAATATACCAAGCCTATCAGAAACAATATCTTGTAATACTAGAATTTAAACTATCAACAGTTTATATTGCCAAAGCATGTACTCAGTGCAATGAGAAAGTATTTTATTTCCTTTTAAAAATAAAATGGTACAAGCTCTTCCACCAACAACAAGAATTGCAGTACTCTGAAGACTACTTATTTCAAAATATGTTGGGAGGACAAGTTAGGTTAAGATAACATTTCCATCCCACAAAATATTAAGCCTCCAAACACTAGCCCAATGCCATCAAAATACTCAAGCACTCATGCTTTTTTGGAGTACAGCAGTGTGAAAATAAGAAAGTTTCAAGCAGCACCCAAGTTCTCTTTTCTGAGTGGCTACTGATTTGATATTCGGTTTTCCAATTTTATTCCCTGGCCATCTCCACACATAAGGCTTTCAAACAATCTTCCACTCCTGTTTTAAGTCCTAGTCAAATGCCTCCCATTGCACACCATTTCCTGTGTAAATTCTTTTTGTTTGCATTTTAATGCCAGGCTTTCTTGCAAACAGTTTTTATACTTGCAAAATGCATACAGGGTAGAAAATGACACTTCTCACATACATGCACCTTGAGAATAGTAGCAGAGGAAGAAGAGTACTGGCTATGGGGAAGGTGATCAGTAATAAGATGATTCTCCCAGACCTTCAGGAAAACCAGAAGAGGCTGATCCATTCTTCACACCATAAGAAGTGAAAGAACAGCGTGCTCTCAGACTTCAGGACAGCATTGGTAGCACAACAGCCTGCACACAAACTAACCATGGTCATGCAGACAAGATCTAGGTATGATTCATAAAGTTCAGCCATTGACTCAAATAACATTTTGCTAGACAGACTACCAAAAAAAAAAAAGAAAGAATTTTTTTGTGAATTCTTTGGTGGCAAGTTTCTTACCATTTCAAATATTGGGTTTCTTTCCCAAGCTTTGCCTCAGAAGTAATACTAATGTGAATCTCACAGGTGAAGTACACCATCCCTTGGCCTTTCCACAACTCACCAGCTAACAAAAACTACTGTTTTATCCAGTAAACTTTTCTGCTGAAAAGTCAATTATAGTCCATATTTAATGCCAAACACATTGCCAGTGAAGTTGTTTAAAAGTGACGCATGCTGAAGTACTTCAGATAACAACTCCAAAAACTATTTTAAGATGGCATTTACGTTTTGAAAGGAAGGCACACTAAACTTACAAAGACACGTTGCGTGTTTCAGAGTAAGTTTATGGCTTTAAGAACTCAAAATGACCAAGAAGTGAAGCACAGATTAAGACAAAATAAAGAGTACACTGACACGAAAGCAAGACAAGGATTACCAAGGAAGCCATAGCTGCAAATACACGGACTTGTTGAAGAGCGCTCATGACCGTTCTCAACCTACTTACAGAGCCAGAAGTTCACACTGCTGGAAGGCACCTCGATTTACCCAAAACTGTCGAGTCTTACTTTAAAACTCTGACAGCAGAAGTGCTGTTTCCCTGAGGGATAAACGCTACCGAAGCTCTCACAGCCCTACGTGTAGAA